CTTTCTCATTCAGATTCACAGAATTTCGACTTCAATTTTTTTTCACCTCCTCAATTTTTTTTTCATCAATTTCGACTTTTTTTCGACTTCAGAGAATTTCGACCTCTCCTCAACAACACATTTCAAAAACAAACAACGGTTTCTATTTTCTCTTATTCCGTATCTCAAACTCAAAACAATCGCATCCAACCAATTCATTGCACCAGAAACCAATCTTCCTCATGCTTAATCAGAATCATTATCTTCCGACACAACAGATTTATAATAATCCATAAATCTGCTGCCGATACCCTATAATAATTCACAAGAAGCTTTCGATTCAGGTTATTAGCGTCCGATTTGATCTGCACAAAATTCACTTCATAGAAAAGGAAAGATATTACAACTGATCGAATTACATCTTCAATCGCTCAACATTCACTCAATTATTAGTTCCACTCCTCGGGCTATGATTACCGGCTCCAGCTCCAGGTTGAGGTGATATTTGTGCTGCTGCTCCTTGTGCCAAATCATTGCCGTCATTTGCCATCATTCCTCCCGCAGCACCCAATAATTGCACTGGTGGGGAGTGAAGTGGTTGCATGTGCTGCAAAAAAACATCCATTAAATTCTTCAAATACTTACGAGGTGGAAAAAACACAAAAATTAATGAGATAAGATTACATTGCCACTGAACAACTGAATGTTCCTCTTCAACGTTCCTACTGTCATTCTTTATTTATTATACTTTACACAAAGGGAAAATAAATCATATTGCCTATACATTATAAATTGCCTACACATGACGGCTTCTGTTATTTATACGTGATAAATCCAAAAAAAAAAACAATCAAGCGAGGTCTCAAAAAGCCTCAGTAACGAATAAAACAGTGAGGATATACTAATGACATTGGCATTGAATATTCGTTAGAAGAAAGAAAAAAATGGACTTACACTACATCAAAGGACTATTTGAAAAAGAACTGCAACTAAAGGACTATGTCAAACGTCTTAAAAATGGACTATCTCCTCACAAGAGAAACAAGACAACTGAAGGTTTTCTCCTTTAAAAGTAGACTTCTTCATATCCTACATTGACCTCAATGTCTTGAAAAGAATGAAATTAATAAATCCTCAAAATCGAACCTGATTGGCAAGTTGATGTGCCAAATGCACACCGCCAACACCCAATAAAAGTTGATGATGTGCAGCCAGGTGCGGTGCTACATCAAGTCCTCCTCCGGGAGCACCTCCGAAGTGAACGCCACCTCCTGGGGCGCCACCATGAAGATGTGGCACATTCAATTGAAGTGGTGCTGGCTAAACGTTCAATGATAATGATAAAATTAGTCGATGAGCATTAGTCGTATCGCTTTTCAAACGCTCACAACCAGACATCAGATATCAGAGGGATTTCAATCAAAATAGAAGATTTCAGTCTCAACTAAAACTCGCCCATTCAAAATAAAACCGATAGTATTCGTATGTCAAACGGAATGATTTTTCTTTTCGAACGTGATTTAATATAATGACTACTAACAAAAATACAAATCAACCATAATAAGTGAGAACAACATGTAATAATTATAGTTATTATTAGCCATAGGCCACTACTACTAACCTGAGGTAACGGGTCACTGGCCGCGCTCGCTAGACTCGGATTCGATTTACTCTTTACGATTGGACAAGCGAAATCCACATGCCTCGAACGTGCCTCCTCCTTCTCCCATGAGCAGTGCACGAACGGCCGTTGCACATAGTTATAGATCACTAAAATTTGTTGTTCTCGATTTTTTCAAGGAAATATTACAAAAAGTTTTAATGTTCATTAGCAGTTTCGAGATCAGTTCCGAATTAGGCCGAAAAGAAAATAACCGAAAAATCTCAATGAAAACAGTTTCGAATCCGAATTACGTTCACACTAGAATGTTCCTAAGGCCACTTCAATAATACGCTATCGTCGTCCTCCCTATGGTGCTATTTGCAAATATTCCGCCATTTAGTTCTTCTTCATCTATCACACTCACAGATCCTATCCACTTTTGACAATTCCATGTGGTATTGATGTTTCGACACGGTTTTCATTATCTCACTACATGCAGCGAGTTTAGGTCTCGAGTAAACTCATTCAGATACACACCTTCGGCTTTGTTGAATCGGCGCTTGATCTTCTCCTTATGTGTCGGATAACCCTCCATACCCAATCGGATCTTCTTCAACCCGCGCTCTTTCAGCACCTTAAACAAACATCAAACATCAATGCTATGAGCAAATGAACCACTAAATGAATAACACCAAATATTTACTCACAATCAGCGCAATGAATTATTCAACAAGTAAACAAACCTGATAAATACTATACGGCTTCTGGACAAATTTTCTAGAAATAACAATAACATAATCGAAAAAGAGTAACAATAACAACTAACAAAATCTACGGATGACTTAAAAGAATTGAGCCACACCAACCTGTTTAGCAACATCTCTATTTTCAGCATACTTGAAGAATCGATACAAATGCGTACTGTACACAACTTGAGTGGTATCTTCGCCCATTTGTGGCGGATACAATTCGTCCCAATCCACCACATCATCATCCAATAACACCACAATATGGCATTCACGATCGCCATGCTAAAACAACTCTCTTCAATAATTCCTCTTCGTTTCCTCTAGTAGCAAAATCTATTTTAAAATCGCCCTCAGCACTAACAAACACTAAAGAATTCATTTCCAACTCGACATTTTATTCACAAAATAAACAACCCAATAAAGCAAATCACCTAAACAATGAAAAAATAAACCACGATCAAATAAAACTCAATGAAAAACTCAAAAACGAAACTAAAACAAATAAATCATTTATATCTGAATCACTATCATTAACCTTTTTTTAAACTGTTATTTTTTACTTATTCAACCAACCGGCATGATGTCAGAGCGGCAGTAAACTATCATATCATATCATAACAACTAAGTAGTATCCACTCACCTCAGTGCTGATAACCATTTGTGGCAAAATGATATCTTCTAAGAACTCGCTGAACTGCTGTCGAGCACCTTCATTGCTCAGTTCGTGTAAGAATGAACGTAAATTATCACATCGCACTGTCTGTGCATTGAACGGTATCAATAAATAATCACACGCTTCACGTAGTTCGCTTGCCGACACCGATGGTGGACAGCGCATTTTACCCGTTTGATAATATTCCTTAAAACACAACAACCCTATCAATCACCATCAAACCAACACGATGTTTCCCTCTCGGTACTGCTATATCACTATTGTAATCAATATATTGTGAGGACGGAAAAAAGTCGGCGACGAAATTCTGCAGTCGTCGGAGACCCGAAAATAGTCGGCTTGAAAAAATCAAAGACAGACTCATTGGAATTCCCTGATCCCCGCAACACACTACTTGTAATCACTGCTCCACATTTATTGATGGGATATTCCACATCACCACACATTAAATCACAGAGCGAAATGAAATACAACGCAACAAACCAATTCAAAAATTACCCTAATTGTAACCAAATTCATTTCCCTTACTTCAAATACAATTCCGTTTTGACAAGAATCTTCTTGGATATTCGTTATTCGCAACAAAAAATGCAAAAATATCAAAAGAATACGAATCATAAAAGGAGATGGAGAGCGAAACATCTTTGTACATTTCATAAAACGGTAACAAACACACTCACGAGAATGGCTTTGAAGCACACTGCTGACAAGCCCTCAGCTACCTCGTACTCGTTTTGTTCATTTGGACGCACCAGTTCAGCACCTTCATGACTCTGATTCCTCACACTGAACATTCTACCCAACATCGTATCCGGTTTCGCAGTCAGCATTGCCGGATCGATTAAAAACCGAGTATTTTCCACCAACAATGTCACACGCTCACCTTAAACAATTAACTTATCATATCAAATCATAATGTTATCTGTCCTCACATATTCCTCAACACTATCAGTCGCTTTATTAGATACAAGCAAACTCATAGCAGTCAGTCTCAAGCTCAACAACAACATTACAGACATCATAAAATATTCGGCTTCGAGCAAAACTTTCATCCATCCGCAAGCAGAAGTAAATTTTGCTCGAAACGGAAACTAAATCGTGTTCCAATCGCAATAGCATTACTGCAATCACTGTCTTCGTGTCATCAATTCAAATAATAACACCTTAGATCAATTGTATATTAAACTATGACAAGATAAGGACTTCATTGATAGGCAAACGTTGCCAATATATAGCCCAACTTAGACGTTTCGGCTCCTAATGCCATAACACCAGGAGTACCGCATAACGTTAAAAAAACGAAAAATACGTTCGGTGATTTGGGCTGACTAGACAGAACCATCAGTAATTTGTTGAATTCAAGGCAACAAATCAAATCAAAAGAAAATCGAACTAACCATTCTCAGATCGGCTAATGTCAACAGTTTGCATAGAAGAACGTTGTGATGAAGATGCTACAGCGGCTAGCAAGGATTCATGTTGAGCACTACCCAGCGACATAGAACGTTGACTCCGATATGTATCCTGTAAACGGAAGGAACATCTCAATTTTTAAATTAAATGATTCTAAAAATATTTTACATCAAGACATTCAACGAGTTAAACAAGTCAATAGCATACAACTTTGCCTAAATCGCAGAAGAATGTCAGTAAATTCATGAAACTATCGAACAGAGCCTGATCGCTTCATTCAACTAAACTATTTGAAAGACTATTTGAAAACGATGCACAAATCTTCTATATATCTTGAAAGTATATAAATGTTCCGAACCTATAATTTGAGAAAAAAAAACCCAAAGCTTTCCATTCAATTCTAAAATTCCTGCGGAAAACGATTACATATTCAATATCAA